CTGAATAGCTGTTTTGTCCTACTACTGGACTTCTCAGCAGCATGCACCTAAATCCTTGACAGGGATGACCTCATCACATTGAGGTATAGTAGTCCGCATGTTTGTCATTATTATTACCAGGACGAAAGAGCTGTCCAGTGCTCCCAGGTTTCCTTTTTTCCTCCAAATGATGTAAGTTTACGATGAATAACAACTTGGAATTGTTATTATTTGTCCTCTGGGTTTCCAGTGGAACATAGGGATTCAGTATCACGTCGCCACTTCACTCTCTTCTCTACAGTCCTCCCAACATGGCTCCACTACTACCCACAACCTTTCATTTCTTCCTCACACCACCTCCTCCATGTCACACTCGGCTCGGATACCCAACTCGTCGTTTCCCATTCGGCTTCCACTCGAGGGATTGGTCTGGCCTGGCGTGACGCGTGATCTTCCCAAATGGTCTTCTCAGTGTATGCCCAATCCAATCCATCTCCACTTTCTTCTTCTGTATATCTGTTGTGGGATCGTTTCTTGGTTGGTTCGTTGCCAGTCAGTCAGAGTTTCTTGTTGCTTATTCTTTCTGGCCATCCATCTGATCGATCTTCAGTGTCGAGTGAGTGTAGGCGGCAGCTGTTCATGATGTATGTCTGTGGTTTCTTGGAAATGTTTTAGGTAACGCGTTACCAAGTCTCTCAACCATCATATAGAAGCACTGACGTACTTGACTGAATTAGTGTTGAAAATTCCGAACTTGTTCACGCTTTGTGCTGAGTGGAGTGAAGTTGAGCTGAGTTGAGTTGAGTTGAGTTGAGTTGAGTGGATTGGAGTGGAGTGCAGTAGGTCTCTTCACTGATTTCTGGCCAATGAAGGAATGCCTGTCTTGTTGTCTTTCCTATACTGGCTTTCATGTTCTCGTGTGTGCCGCCACCGCCTTTAGTTGAGACGATGCTGCCCAGGTAAGTAGGTAGGTAAGTAGGTGGGTAGGTGGAAGAGGCAACTTCCTTTACATTTCTCCCGTTGATGGTGGTTGGTATTTGTTGTTGTTGTTGTTGTTGTTGCTGTTGTTGTTGGGTATCTCCACCACCTCTGTCTTCTCTACGTTCACTTGAAGGAAGTCCCGTCTTCCTTCACTGCATCGCCTCTTCTGACAACTTGTTAGTTTTGGCGTGTGCATCTTCGAGTTTGTGCGACAAGACATTAGACATAAATCATTATTGTTGACGAAATCCAAATCTTTTTCTAGGGTCTTTTCATCGGTCCAGCCAGTGTATGCCCATCTTCTCATAGCTCCTCACAGTTGTCTGTTGCATGTTCCAGTCGAGTGGACCACGATGAGGGTGATGGGTGGTGAGTGATAGTGGGCGGCAATCTTGTCTTACTCGTATCTCCTGTCTTCACTCCAGAGACATCATGACTGAGTTTTCGATTGTGAATCACTGGGCACGTAGCATCATATAGCATATAACTGCAGTTGAATGAGGTTGATGAATGTTTGTGGCATTAAAACCGTGGTGTTGCAGCAGCTGGCAGATTACTTCTCGTTTGACGCTGTTGAAGGCCTTTGCAAAGTGGATGAAGCCGAGTTGAATAGTTGATTGGCATTCTATTCTGTGTTCTATGATGATGTGTAGCATGGGGTTGCAATTTGATCCTCACATGATTTGTTCTTTCTGAAGCTAGGCAGCCTGTTTCGGTCGTAATTTTGAATCCGGCGTGCTTTTTTGTCTCTCCAGGATGGGCATGTTACCATTTAGTAATCCACATTTTCCTATTTCTGTCAGTTCCTGTCATAGCTGGACCTTCATGGATTGCCATCGCTGAATACATGTCCTTAGGTCCGCTTTAATTTGCCCCACTCCTTGCGACTTTCATTAGAACTTCTGGGAATCTCATCTCGAAGCAAGAGTAGTTCATTCTGGAGATATGTAGTAGTTCATTTATTGATTTCATTTTGACATTTATCACCAATTGATATCATTTTGAGTACTACTAAGTGCCTGAACAGGCTGGACAACTGCTGCATCCCGATATGAGATAAATGAAAAGCGATTTATCCTAATATCTAACTTAAAATGTTCACAGTTATTCAATTTGATTGCTTAACCATATTATTTATCTCATTGAAGGTGATTTGATTACGGATGGGAGAAATTCAATTATTTACGCATGTATGAATAATTAAGGCTATTTGTTTCAATGATTACTGTACATCTTTTCATTTCGTTTGAACAATTCACATTATATAGGCAATAAGTGTATATAAAAACTGATTAAGGACTCATATGTGATTGAGTATGTTTATGAGTAACATATCATAGATTCATTCATCACGTTTCTGATTCGCTTATGCACATCTTATGTTTCACTATTTACCTAACTTGGATATTATTCATCCAGAGTTTTTGTGCAGAAGTCTCATATCACTATGTATAGCAGCTACGCCTTAACACTCTGCCTGATTGATGCAAACTGTTCGATGCTGTCATGTTTTCAATAATTCATTGTCACCCCCTCCCCCTGGCTGATATTGTAGTGGGCGCTGCTGATGAGAATGAATATAAGTAGTATATGTTAGGAGGACGGCAGAAATCATAGACAATTACCAGCAATGGGTAAACATTCTACCCAGAGAAACACAAGGGACAATGTGGATGTATTAAGAGGAAATCAAGATAGAATCAGAAGAGGAAATGAAGCACATTGTGCAAATGACTGTCTTAGTGGAAGGTGCACAATATTTGATAACTACTATGCAAGTTATCAATAATAAACATTCCTTCCTTCGTCTTGTTGTTTTCTACAATTGGTGTCGCTGCCAGGAGCCCGAACACACATCAGCTCAGTGACCGACTAGAAGTCCCTGAGGAAGACCTTGATGGCTCCATCCTCGAACACTGCAGGAGCAGGAAAACCGATTTTAGAAAACGACAAGACGAAGGAAGGAATGTTTATTATTGATAACTTGCATAGTAGTTATCAAATATGGTGCACCTTCCACTAAGACAGTCATTTGCACAATGTGCTTCATTTCCTCTTCTGATTCTATCTTGATTTCCTCTTAATACATCCACATTGTCCCTTGTGTTTCTCTGGGTAGAATGTTTACCCATTGCTGGTAATTGTCTATGATTTCTACCGCCCTCCCAACATATACTACTTATATCCATTCTCATCAGCAACACCCACTACAATACCAGTTCTCCATGAAAATTAGCTTAAAATCAATTGACCCCGTTTTATAAACCATTAGATTAATTACTTCTAAAGCTTTTTAGTGATCGATTTCTAGATGAATTCCCTGAAGTTCTAAAGACACCCTAATCTGTGTGGTGTGAGAAGAAATACTCATTTACGACAATAAATGATGGTTGCGATACATCACGAACAGACAGGAGTAGGAGTTGGCGAACCACTGAAGATCTGACGATCCTCGGCCAGATCTGTCATGTGAGAAGTTCCAAACTCAGCAAAAAACCGGCTGTCTAGTGTTTGCAGTTATTCACCAATAGGAACCACCTTCAAATCAGTTGGTCCCCACAAAGCACCCGCTGATTCGAGCTGAGAGACTCAATCATAAAGGAATTTAAAGTTAGTTTAAGAAAGCTTTCGTACCACCAGAAACACCCGAACATCAAAGAAAAAAGCGGTTAATTATGTGAGCAAATGTAAAACTGTTATAACTCAATGACTACTTGTTTGACTGTTGCGCCTGCTAAAGTTAGATCAATAACTTCATCTTGATCACCTCTAACCATTCAGTATTAAATTCAGTTCACGATGATGATGATGACGAATTATTTGACTTGACTTTCACATTTAAAAACTAATCTGTGGAAAATAGTTCAGCATTTAGGATTAAATGATTTGGAGCTCAGATATAAACCTGAGGTCAACCTTTCGTCAACTCACGTTGTTCACCGAAAGGGAGTCTTAAAACAAGACGAAATAGCTGTCCGATACTTCAAAGTTCTTCTGAAATATCTTATGTTGATACTACCTATCGATAACACCTTCTTTGAAATAATTCAGATGATCTCCACAAACCTTCCCATCGAATAAATCATTCAAGTCTCTTGAGCGATATAAAATGCGCTATACTCAATCAACAAAATGATTAGTATTTATGTATACTGATTACCTCTAATCTATCCAAGACATCTTAATGATGGTATCATCAAGAGATACTCACTGCTTTCCAGTTACAAATCAGTATCCTGCTGTTGTGACTATCTAATGACTAACGAAACATTTTGTGGGGTTTTTAGGTTGGAATTCATCATGAACTGACATCAGTTATAGGAACATTGGAAGCATAGGAGCACTGTTTCATCCTAGTATTGGACTCTCCAACAGTGCGCACGCACGACCTCGCTCCGCCAGGGATCGAACCCAGGACATTTAGGTTCCTTGGCCATTACGTTACCATTGAGCTAACCACTAGGTAGGAATCCAATGGTCCATATTCCCTACTTCTGTCAGTTCACGATATAGTGCGACCTACACTCAATATCGTCGTTGAGTAGCTGTCCTCTTGATAGAATTAATCTAGTGTACATTGGTGACTAGCTTTAAGAGGCGATTCCCGAAGTTCTAATGAGAAGTCGTGACCAGGGGATTCAACCAAGTCAAACATGACGACACTTGCTCAACGACGTTATTGCATTCCATTGGATTGCGACCCAGTGGCTCAATGGTAACGTGTTGGCCATTGAACCTGAAAGTTCTGGGTTCTACTCCTAGCGGAGCCGGCCTATGAGTGCGCGCTGTTAGGGAGTCTGGTACCAGGCCAAAACAGCTGTCCGGTGCTTCCAGGTTCTCGATGTTCCTGCAACTAATGTCAGTTCATGACGAATTTCAACCTAACCAACCACAAACCTCCAGATAAGATTTTGTGGATTTGTTTAAATTTCACTTAATTTTTCACTCCATTCATTCAACTTTCTTTCTTCTCACTTGATAGAAATTCAAATTAAAAGATCAGTACTTTCAACCTCCAATTCAGACTTAGACGAACTCAAATGCCTTTAACCGAATCATCAATCCAGTTAACAAAACAAGTGCAAAACGATTGTATGAACAGTACGCGTTACTTTTCATGTTTTTCACCATATAAACAAAACCAAATAAATTGTATATTGAATCCATTGAATCCTTTAAGACCAACAACATGTAATATATTCAGCTCTATTGAAAGATTAACACATGAAGAGAATTCAGTTACTAGTAATAATTCAAATGTAAATTTGATAAACACTAACAGTACAAAGAAGATTGTTGAAGAATGTGAATTATCTACAAAGCTGCCCTATTTATTCCCAGTTGGTTGGGTAAGTTACTGTTATAATACCAAATTATTGGGCACCATCTCAGACTGATTAAATCTGATTTTACCCTATGGTTAAATTGCGATGGTTTTAACATCAGACACAACATTACCAAACTTGACCAACCAGGAGGTTCTGGGTAAACACTTCAGAAGAGACTTAATTTAGAATGAAACCCTATCTAGTGTCTTCTGACTTAAGTGATTCTCCATCTAATTTCAGTTTGGAATAAAGCATAAGGAAAGACATCTGCAGAATAGAATGAGCACACCATATTTCACGGTCTTTCATTAGCTGCAAACAGTTCATAACTGAAATGAAGTGGTAGTAGTAGTAGTAGTAGTAGTAGTAGTAGTAGTAGTAGTAGTAGTAGTAGTAGTAGTAGTAGTAGTAGTAGTAGTAGTAGTAGTAGTAGTAGTAGTAGTAGTAGTAGTAGTAGTAGTAGTAGTAGTAGTAGTAGTAGTAGTAGTAGTAGTAGTAGTAGTAGTAGTAGTAGTAGTAGTAGTAGTAGTAGTAGTAGTAGTAGTAGTAGTAGTAGTAGTAGTAGTAGTAGTAGTAGTAGTAGTAGTAGTAGTAGTAGTAGTAGTAGTAGTAGTAGTAGTAGTAGTAGTAGTAGTAGTAGTAGTAGTAGTAGTAGTAGTAGTAGTAGTAGTAGTAGTAGTAGTAGTAGTAGTAGTAGTAGTAGTAGTAGTAGTAGTAGTAGTAGTAGTAGTAGTATTAGTAACATAACACACATTAAATGTGCAGAAATAAATGAAGGTTCGAAATCCATGATTAGTAGCGTGGTAGTGAGTCGAGGAAATACAGGCCTAATGATCACAAACCGTAGCCAAAACCAACAGCAATTTATATACATCTGATGAGATAGAAAATTCTGGTGCTGTGGAAAGCGGGAGGGGGCTCAGACACACATAAGTGTAAAAGAAAGGGTTGTTAAAATATCTCTAAATCCAAACAAACTCCCCAAGTTCGAACATCTGTTTGATGTCCTATTCCCATCAGGAGTCTGACGACTGGGCTGATAAAGACCCTAACTTTCAGACACAGATTTCTTAGTGAATTGATATAGACAGTTGAAGGTGACGTGATCTAGGTAATTGTTTACCTTCAACTGCTTTATTGAGCATACTGTATTCTAAACTGAAATCAGTCTGGAAGCATGGAAGTCCCTTCTGAGTGCAACTTTTATTCTTCTGTCTATTCTTTCAGATATCTCATCACCATTGAATGTTAGATAAAGAAAAACGGGTTTCTTCCTAACAAATGAGTTTTCGGGTCTCTCGATAAATTCTTTTTCATGCTTCATGATGAATTTCTTCAGATATCCATCCTGAATGGTAGGAAATTCTTTTTTCAGTTTCTTTTCTCAGAATAACCTTCTTATTCCAGTTAAAGTGTCCTGAAGTAGACCCATGGTTCACATTATGGCAAACAATAAGAGTATCATTTACATACCTGAGGTAATACGTCGTTTTCATGACAGCAGAGTTCAGGCGTATTTGTTCGAGATGAGCTAGATTGTGGCTGAAACCACTCATAAAATGAATCTCTGTATAAACAAGCATGTAAATGCTTATGGTTCAGTTATGATTTCATTTTCTGTGTAAGTACCACTCACTCACTCACTCACTCACTCACTCACTCACTCACTCACTCACTCACTCACTCACTCACTCACTCACTCACTCACTCACTCACTCACTCACTCACTCACTCACTCACTCACTCACTCACTCACTCACTCACTCACTCACTCACTCACTCACTCACTCACTCACTCACTCACTCACTCACTCACTCACTCACTCACTCACTCACTCACTCACTCATGCTGATGAAACTTACCACAATTGAAGAGGGGTTGTGATCTGATTTGTGCTTCAGTCTTAAATCTTATTCTGTGGAGCAACAAAGATAGGAACTTAAGAACCGCTTCTTCGTCTCCTGCCTATCATGAGTCAGATTTTCTTTTATTTGCAGTCTAAATCACCCTCATTTCTTATAGATTCAGTAAACTATAGACGGACTTATACGATACAGATTCAAATAAAGCTTATACAAATATAATGAACAAGATAGTTGTAAAATCCACTTAACAAGTGGGCAGAAGTTGGAAAGTCAACATGCATAGGTAATTTAACTGGAAGACGATGAAATTCTCCTAAAGAACTCTCGACAAAAGATAGTTACAAGAAGTCCGTTTGAGCTTCCTACCATATAGAACTACTCGAATGATGAGGTATTCATCAACAGAGCTTGTTATCATTTATCAGTAGACAAGGTTTACAAAATTCATGGGAGTGATACTTATTCAGAGGTGACCACCTAGACATGCTATCACGATACTGAGTTACTTAGCTCAACAGTCGTTTCAAGGTAGTATTCATCATGAACTGAGATCAGTTGAAGAAACATTGAAAATCAGAGTATCGAACAGCTATTTCTTCCTCAACATTAAGCACCTATGACCCCACCACAGATCAAACTCGGAACCTTCAGGTTTCACAGCAAACACCTTAATCATTCAGTCACGTGGTCGGAGTCCAATGCCCCACAGTTTCCTACTTCAATCAGTTCGTAATAAAGCGCGACTAACCATCAAGGTCTTCAGTTTGCATTCACTTGCCTTTCGATTGCTTGACACACAGGTCACAGTTTCGCCTTAGAACTTTGTGATATCCATCTGGAAGCATGTCACTAATGGGCACTATACAATAATGTAGTCTGAGGTTTATGTGGATTTTGTGTTTTAAGATTGTACTCATCATGGACTGATATCCTGGTATATGTTTCCTCAGCAGTACGCACCCGCGACCTTTCCAGGGACTGGTAGTAGGAATTTTGTCTAGGTACATTAACGTTTATAGTAAACATTGAAGTCTCACCGGAGACAACATCACACATTAGGGTGCAAGTAAATCTAGCTAATGAGTCCCAAATGGGACGAAACATATGTCGTGTAAATTATAACAATAATGATGCATCCTCATTGCAACCCCACTTGCTGACAGTATAGTAACAAATAATAACAGTATCAATTGTTATCTCTTTTTAATTATGATATAGTATATAAGACTGAAATATACAGTAAAAGTAACTCTACTTATCACCCGTGATAAATTTTGGTTGTAACAGAGAACTCAAAGAAAAGTGAAACATTTAACTGACCAAAATACTTTTTCTTTTCAACATGATTACTGTTTTCTTCGCTTTGATTTGTTCTATACTTATTGAATCTTAAATATTTTTAGGTTCCACCGCCTCCACATATTCTCTTGGCATATTTACAAGCTAATAAATTATTTCGACAACAACAACAACAAGAACAACAATATTATCAAGAGTCTAAACTAGCAGAATATCAGTCAAGACTTTCATCAAATTATCAGCATTACACTAATCAAACCGTATTCCTGACACCTGAATCATTTTCATTTATCAATATGAAAAAGTTGGACAGCTTGACTCAGTTGAAATCGCAAACTGTTAATTCTACTGATCATTCAGCACAGGTTAGAATACTTTGCTTTTTTCATGTTAATTTTTCAATGGAAACTCATTAAAATACACAGGCATTAGGAGAATAACAAGTACATCAATAAATAGTAATAACTAAAACCCGTTGTACAAGAAGTGGCTGTCGTGCCTCCGTGGATTTGTGGATAACGCCTTGCCATTTGAAGCGATCGGTACGAGGTTCGAGGCTTAGTGGGGATAACATCGCTCACTGGGGTGCAGGTACATTTAGCTGAAGAGTCCCGAGTAGGAAGGAACGCACGTTCTGAATTCTTCTACTGGCCACAGCCAAGCAAGTCAGGGGTTTAGTTGGGTGTATTAAATAATACTGGTTAGGGTGTTATGTAACCACAGAGAGGGAAATCCTACAGCTACGCTGACACTACACAATGTATCAGTTTGAAAATCCCTTTATTAATATGTTGTCATTTCCATAGCGACATTGAATTTCATGCATGGGTTGGAAAACCATTGAAAACTCGGGTGTAGTGTACAACTGTTTCGTCCTGGGATTCCTCAGCAGTGCTCACTCATGACATCTTCATGGATTCATTGAACCACTGGATAGAAATCCAATTTTTGTCTTCTACCAGTTCACAATATAGCGTGACCTCAATCCATTGTCGTCGCTGATTAACTGTCTTCACGTACAACTCAACGATGACATTGAGTTGAAGTTGCGATAGATCGTGAACTGGTAGAAGTAGGAAAACTGGACTGCTGAATTTCGATCCAGTGGCTGAATGAGTCCATGACGGTACCGTGGGTGCGTACTACTCAGAAGTCCCACACTAGGATGAAATAGTTGTCCAGTGCTTCCAGGTTTCCAATGTTTTGCCAACTGTTATCAGTGTGTGATGAATGTTAAGATGAATAAAGTAGTTTTTCGCAAACTTCCAAAATGAAAGTGATATTATTTTATTTCACGAATATTCTTCAGCTGTATTCAATCGAAAATTAAAATGGATGCCAACAGATTTGTTCATGAGTTATCTTGAACAGATGCACCGGAACTCAGTCTCCAGAAGATATGCTGATGAAACGTTTGTTTCTTGTAATGATATGAACCATGCAACTCAGTTGTTCGACAAGGTCAACAAGGTCTCATGTCACCAATTAATTTATGATAGAATATGAACTTGACGACAAATTCAACTTCTTGAACTACAACGTAAGAAGAAGAAGTTATGGTACAATCGAACAGACCATCTAAAGAAAAGATATATCAACCGGAAAGCACTTTAACTACAACAGTTTTTGTCCTGCAAGCTATTAGTGCAGGCTAGTCAAAACACTTTACAACACAGTGTTCTGTGAACATGTTAGGGGAAGAAGTAGACATCATTAGAAAGTAGTATTCATTACAGACTGACATCAGTTGGGGAACCATTGGAAACTTGTGAGCACCGGGCAGCTGTTTCGTCCTAGTACACGACTCCTCAGCATTACGCACCCACGACCACGCCAGAGATCGATCTCAGGACCTTCAGGTCTCACGGCGAACGTGTTCACCATTCAGCCACCCATTTATTTCAAAAATACATTACTATGTAATGCTGATTAACGACAAGCTTTCAGGTAGGTATCTCGAGGTTTTAATAAGAAGCTGTGACGTGTGGGGTCAACCAGTCAGAAGTGAAGCGAATGCCAACTGAAGACCTTGATGGTTAGTCGCGCTATATCATGAAGTAAGAAACTGTGAACCACTGGACTCCGACCAGTGGCTGGGTGATTAACGCGTTTGCCGTGAAACTTGAAGGTTTGGAGTTTGATCTCTTCAGTATGAAGTGCTGATGATGTCGTCTAGCAAGACGATGAAAGCTCCACGATTAAACAACCCAGCTCAGAGAACACAATACAACCAAGACTATTCACCTGAGCTACAAATATTCTCCATTAGTTTGACCTCTAACCAGCTAGTGTGTGCGTACTGCCGAGGAGTCCCATACTAGGACGAAACAGCTGTGAAGTACTCTCAGGCTTTCAATAGTTCCCTAATTGCTGTTAGTTTGTGATGAATACTACCTCTAAATTTAATTCCCCATTCAGCTGAAAAATACATTATTAGAAAGTGTCTGAGAGAGATTGGATACTCAGACAGGTTTGTTGTGGAGTATGGAGAAAAATAGGCCAACAGAAATAAGGATTCAACTGTTAGAAAGAACGCTTTTATTCAACTTGCATTCAAGAAAGATGCAGTGTCCAACAGAATACAGATAAGAGTCGAAGGGGAACTAAACAGAAGCTTTCCCAAAACCAAACTGTTAGTGGTACACGATACCGCATGCTCAGTGAACCAGTTCAAATTAGCTAATTATCCCTACTCATGACGTCAAAAAACCATTCATGAATTGGCATGCTTATGTGGTAGCCAGGAAATCGATTCTGTTCACTGAGAGTATTCCGAAGATTTTGCGTCTGAAATGAAGCAAGGAGGTGCAATTAATAGAAACAGGACACCAATTTGTAAGCAGTCAGTCACTTGTGGAAGAGTTTTGTAATAATAATTACCTTCCAGCTGACACTTACCATGACACAATGAATGATAAATGACTTGCTAATAAGGTTTCTACCACTTCCAGCTAGCACAGAAAGCAACGCCTGAAGCAAACAAACTAATAACTGAACCAAAATAGCTGAAAACCAAAGTCAAGTCGATTTGAAATCTATTAAGTAGGTTGGCACAAATTCGTTCAATAGGCAATGAGCCATAATACAATACTTCATTCTATTGAAATGAGATTAATAAAGGATACATTAAAATTGTTTCCAACCAATAGGAAGAGACCATTGTTGAGGACATTAAAAATAACAGTTTTAGGTGCTTTTTATGTTACAGGTTGTAAATCTTCGTCATCACAACGTGGCATTTGGAGTGATTGGTTTTGGGTTTGAGTCTCATTAAGAACAATATCACTCAATGGAAGGCAAGTACATCTATTTGATGAGTCCTAAGTAGGACGAAATGTGCATCCTGGATTCCACTGCTAGCAACTGTCCATCAATAATACTTTTAGGTGTTTATTGAAAATGGCTAACATCTACTGTGCATAAGTTTGAAATGTTATGTAAATGAATTAGGATACTGAGAGCAATATTGTAGTGATCTTTAAAATAACTACACAGTTTCTCGACAAGTATTCAATTCAAAGTAATTTTTTGTCATGCTTACCTACATTCCAGTATACTTGTTTGTCTACTACATGATGTATCGTGTATTAAAAGGCCTGTTCTCTCCTGGCAAATAATGAATGCCTTGGGCTAACTATCCCTACTAAGTGATATCCAGGCATTGGTAATATGATATGAAATTAAAAAGTTGTAAATTGATTACTTAGTTGGATTGAAATTCTATGATATACTGATAGGATAAGTTTTGCTTGATAAGAAAAACTGTTACAGAATAAGCATTGTAGAATAATGTATCGTGAAGGGAAGTCACGTGTTTCAGGATATATATTGGGCCAAAAACAGTTTACCCCCTAAAGAAATTGTCTTCCTACAGATCTTTATTTACTTCTATGAAGCTTATTTGAAATGTGAGTGCTCCATAGTATCAAATTCCTGGTCACTTATATAGGAGTACAATTTCGGCCACTGAAGCCTAACAATCAGGTGTACAGTGAGACGTTGTACTGACACTACCTTAAATACTTTTACGTAAAGTGAACTGTTTCCCTGAAATCGTACTGAAAAATTGTGTGATCATGCTCAGTGCCATTTCTTAGTATTGTGATTTGGGTCGATGGTGATAATTATCAATATTCTTAGACTTAAATCTTGGTAGAATCTCACAGACTTCTGGTTTTTTGAGAGGGTCAGGTTATATCCAGCTTACTGTGAACGAAGTTTGCAATTTAGACAAATGGGTCGTTATTGTTACTGTTACTACTACTACTACTACCACTACTACGGCTACTACTACTAATACTACTACTACTACTACTACTACTACTACTACTACTACTACTACTACTACTACTACTACTACTACTACTACTACTACTACTACTACTACTACTACTACTACTACTACTACCACTACTACTACTACTACTACTACCACTACTACTACTACTACTACCACTACTACTACTACTACTACTACTACTACTACTACTACTACTCACACTACTACTACTACTACTCACACTACTACTACTACTACTACTACCACTACTACTACTACTACTACTACTACTACTACTACTACTACCACTACTACTACTACTACTACTACTACTACTACTACTACTACTACTACTACTACTACTACTACCACTACTACTACTACTACTACTACTACTACTACTACTACTACTACTACTACTACTACTACTATTACTACTACTACTACTACTTGCTTATTATTCTTCTAATATGCCCATAACTGAAGAAGTTATGAGATTCGATTTTATCCTTGTGATTGGACTTTCTTCGCCTGATCTGAAGCGATTCACATGAGCATACAACGAATGAATTTTCTTCCCCTATAACCTATAATCATAAACACATGGTTAATAAAAGCATCATATGATGCATTGTCACCACTGGAAAGGAGAAAAGGATAAGTTTCTAGAGACAAAAGGTTAAAAGTGGAATTTCGGGAAGAGAGGTGGTAGGGGGAATAGTGTTTAGCAAAAAGCACTGATAAAATCCAGAAGAAAATTATATATAAATGAAGCCAAGCATATATTTTTGGTTGTGTATATATCGGGGAAGAGGCATGCTTGAGTAATTGTCAGTGAGTGTATATACTATGATGTTTTCTGTTCCCTTTTTTTTCCTACTGAATAACTACAAATTACCGTGACATGCCCATTGGAATGAAAGTGTTTAACACAAAAATAAAATCATCTTTCATTATTACCATCAATTGAATAAACAACTTGCCAAAAAGTGATATAACTACTGAGTAGTCTATATCAGCATACAATATATGTATATATAATCATAATTATATGGTTAAACAGTTTTTCTATCTTGATAGAAAGTCAATTATAATATAACTAGAAACTATTCGCCTATTTACCTTTATTGTGAGTAAATAATTTTACACTAAGTTTTCAGAGATGAGGGATTGTCAATATATGCACTGGACATATGATGTTCAGATTAATGTTATTCAATCGAACCTTGATTGGAAGAAATATTCTTACTCATAATTAACTAAATGTACTCTATATGAAACATATGGTTGGTAAAATTTATCAGCTTTATTATTGTTATTATTAAAACATGGCAATTTTCAAAAGATATTATCTGTTTTGTAGGCAAGTATATATATCACAATGAATAAATTCTCACAAATATAGAAATTCAGTATATATTTGTACCATAAAAGCAGGTGTTAAACTACACCGAAGACATCAGCACCTTTTTAGTCATCACAGTAGGAATAGTCATCGATATCATTTAACTTATCCATTTATAGAGTACGGTTCAAGTTTATTTATTTTCTTTAAAGACTGATAAAGGACAGCAATGAAAATGGACAGATGTTGAATATTAAAGTATATGCTAGTGATGATGATGATGATAGTGATAATGCAATTAACTGTAGGAATGAATGATTACGTAATAGGCGCAGGTTTCACTCGTATATGATGTGTTTATTTAAGACACTAGTTAAACGATTGTTTAACCGTTGAAATTTTTAATTCTAGGTGTTACTAATGTGTCGAGAGGAGAGATTGGACAGAAGATTGGAATCTACTTCAATCACTTGTTACATGAAAGAAAATTTATTACTAATATTATTACTACTGCCAACTTTAATAGTTTATCAGCATTACCACTCCATGGGTGACGTTTGTTTATCTTTGTATCTGATGGCACCGGAGGTGGCAAGAACAGAAATATACATGCTCCTACTATTTGATTAATGATCTAATGTGCTAGCATAATATTTAATTGTTGTCAAGTAGTCTAAGATGGTATTATAAGTGAATAGTTAAATTGGTTTAAACACAAAAATCGAAAACCTGCATTACTAGACAATCATAATAGACTGATGAACTAAACGAACATTTAGAAAATATCCAAGTTTTGATCGCACAAAAATGATTTAAATATTGATTAACAGAAACCACTCATTGGTGACTAGCTTCGAGAGATGAACTGATAGAAGTAGGAAATATGGACCGTAGGATCCTAACCCAGTGGCTTAGTAGTAACTTGCTGGCATTGGCACATGAAGGTCCTGGGTTCGAAACCCGGTGGAGGTCATGAGTGCGCACTACTGAGGAGTCCCATACTAGGACGAAACTGCTGTCCAGTGCTCCCAGATTTTCAGCGTTCTTCCAACTAATATCAGTACATGCTGATTACTGACGTGCGAAGCCAAGAACGTTGGTTAAACTACTTGTCCTATAACGACTTAGAAAACCCTAAAATAGGTGAAACATTTTAAAATGATTTATCCTACCTCTACTCATCACAACTAAGAAAAAATCTTATATCTCAACTGTGAACGAAATGTGGTTTCTGTTGGAAACTGGTATCAAGCTACTGGCATCTCATTTTATTCAATAAGACCAAGTGTTTTGAAGTTAGCAGGAAAAAAACACAAAAAGATCTAGTTGAAACGGCATTATTATTTTTTTTCCCAAACTTTATTTTAGAACCTATCATCTTGAAGATAAAATGTTTAATATTGACTTAAGGTTCTAACAACAAATGTGTACTATTCACTAAGGCGAAGTACTTACTGACCCCATATACATTAGTAATCCCCGTTAGCCAGGATAGCCTGGTCTTAATATCCAGAAAGCGTCTGGTGTGATTGCGATCAAGTACCTTGCTTTAAAAAAGCAAATAATCCTAACTGGTCAGAAGTGTTAATCAATTAAGGTAGCATTCATCACGGACTGACATCCGTTGGAGAACCATTGAAAACCATGATGTATGGGGTTAACCAGTTGGAAGTTAAATGGATGCCAACTGAAGACATTGTTGGGTAGTCGCGCTATATAGGGAATTGGATGAAATAGGAGACTGTAAACTGTTGAACTTCAATCCAGTGGCTGGATGCTTAATGTATTCGCCGTAGAACCCGAGGGTTCTGAGTTCAGTCCATGAAGGGGTTGTGAGTGCGTACTGCTGAGGAGTCCCATAATAGGATGCAACGGCCATCCAGGGTTTTCAATGACTGTCCAACCTTAAACATTAAATGCCCATTAACTTCAAAATACATCGTTAATTATTTCTCACTGAATTCGATTCATTTTGTTTGTTTAGCTGTAAACAAAGTAAATGTCTTATTTTGTGGATGAATTGTTGCTTTTCGTTTTAAATAATATTTGGAAAGTTTTCTAACCGGTAAGAACGATCATGAGAAGACTTATTTTCCCTGGCTTCAAAATTTGCATTTATGAAGCCTAACTAACTGAATTAGTCAAATATACTACTAAAGAACTTGAGTAGTTAGAAACTAGGCAGTAAATTTGATTTCTGTAGTCACATAAAAGTGATCTAGACATCAGGCACTTGTTTGGAACCGAGCTGATCAGCAGTGTACCCTGACAAATTCAACTACTAGAGCCGAATTAGTTCACATCATCTTAATCAGGATAGCTGACTTGCATTAACGTTAACATTTCTCATAACTCAATGGATTTTCAACTCGAATCGCGAACTGCACAGACTGTAAATCATTTGCGTACCGATCATGATGACTGAGCTAGTGCAAATTTCTTTTTATGCTGCTCATAAGACGGGGAAGGAATCCTCTATTCCTAATCGATTGCTTTACATTTTTCTACTTATTCAGAAAAAAACAGATTTTCATCGAGTAAATGAATGATAATGTAGACCGTTTCAACTCACTAAGGATTTTGGACTAGGTTTCATCTAATTCTATTTTTTCGCCAAGTCAAATATGCAAAAGACATTTAGCAACTCATCTTCATCCCTTTCCCCCAGAACTCTTCAAGTAAATTTTCCAAGGTTTAAATGTAACAGTCATATCATGAGAAAAGCTCTCAACCATTTCTTATTTCCTACAATTTTTTCTCAAAAGCTGAATAGTCTGATTCAAATGTAATCAGTGTTTACTTTCACTGGTAAGTAATGTTTCAAATTCGCGTTCTTCATGGACTGCTATATGTTGAAGAACCACTGAAAATCTAAGGGAACTGGATGACGCCATGTGCACATATAACCCCATCGGGTGTCGAACCCCCAGTCTTTACGTCTAGCAGTGAGTACACTACCCCTGAGCCGCTGTGTCAGAATTAAATGGTTTAAATTTTTCTACTTTCGTGAGTTCTCCATATAGCGTAACCTTAATCTAATGCCATGGTTAAGTACCTGTCCTCAAGTTTGAATTGGTTCGCCTCACCGGTCACGACCTCTCATTAGAACTTCGGGAATCATATCTCATACCGAGCCACTAATGAGCTATGGGCAGTAATTCAACTTGAAAGTTTGTGGAAATTTACTTATTGATTTCAATTTTGTATTCATCACAGACTGACATCAGTTGGAGAACTATTGAAAATCTGAAAACACTGAGATAAATTATACAGGAGAAATTAAGAATAAAAATCACATAAGAAATCTTCAAATATTTAAGTGGATGGATTCAATACCAAGATAAACTGTAAATAAGTGTGAATTCAAAAACGAAGAAAACGAAACTTTTCAATTGATTCTCACTTTCATATTGCTTAGATTTCAACACTGGAAATTTGATATTTCAGTAACTCATAAGGAAGGTTATACTGAAACGAATAGATTACATGGAATGAATTTTCTTCAACTGTATGATAACTGTGAAGTGAATATTTTAAGATAGTACTGTTAACTGATGTACAATCAGGATTGTTCTATTACTTTTCGAGTTCACTTTACTATATTTGACTTCAGAATTGGTGATTGGATAAGTATCTATTGAAGTGCCCGACAATTACAGTTTTTTTCTGAAAATAATATGCTCATCGCTCAGTGAGTAGTATAGGACACTTCAGGATGATGCATAGTATGAACATTTGTTGTCATATTAGATTTCCTACTTTTGAAGTTTACTTAAGGTAATTCTGTTGAATTCTAAGCTTAAAAGTAAATTTACTTCCTTGGAATATACTATACATCAGAGGTTACTGGACCGGAAATACCTTTACTCATTCAAATGAAGTTAACATGAATAACTTTTAAAACCTCAGACCAAGATTCGATGGTATATTATAGTTAATGTTGGGTGATGAATGAAGGTGAAATGAAAGTTTCGACTGCTGCTGGACTTAACCATCAACCACCAGGTTTCCGGCCATGGTAGGCTGAAAAAACCCTTGGTTATTGAAGTAAAATTAAGATCTAGTCAGCAGTCGCACTTCGCAGTTCAATTGGTAGAGCAATGGGCCAGAAATCTGGTGATTGC